GAGGAGTCAGTTGAGGTGGTTCAGGCATCTGGTATGAATGCACCCTGGGCGCCTCCCTAGGGAGTTGTTTCGGGCATGTCCGACTGGGAGGAGACCTCGGGGAAGACTCAGGACACGCTGGAGAGACTATGTCTCTCGGTTGGCCTGGGAACGCCTTAGAATCCTCCCAAAAGAGCTGGAAGAGGTGCTGTGGAGAGAGATGTCTGGGCCTCCCTGCTCAAGTTGCTGCCTCCACGACCCAACTTCAGAACAAGCAGAAGATGATAGATGGATGGATTAATTGAAAAATACATTTATCACAGTAGTCATATCACAGTACGTTTACAAATGAAAACCAGTTTAATGCAAATTACAAATTACTAAGAAATCTTGTTTGTCTTTGCTATAATCTTGTGTAAAACTGAAATCTGCAGATATTTATGACAAACTACGAACACAGGAAACTGACACCTTCACAGAGAGAGAGAACACTGAGAGTTTGGAAGAAAAAATAAAAGTTGAACAGAGACACAGTATACCTTTGCTACAATCAGGGACAAACAAAAAAAAGCTGTTGCTAGTCAACTTCACTCTCACCTATCCAACAATAACATTTATGAAGAGTTTCAATCTGGTTTTCGCCCCCACCATAGCACCGAAACAGCTCTAATAAAAGTAACTAATGACCTTCTTCTTGCTGCTGACTCTGCTCTTCTGTCTATCCTCGTTTTACTGGATCTAAGTTCTGCCTTCGACACCATCTGTCATTCTATCCTCCTCAACAGACTAACCTCCATTGGCATCTCAGGTACTCCGTTAGACTGGTTCAAATCTTATCTCTCTGACCGCACTCAATTCATTCAGCTCAAATCCTTTCGTTCCCAGTCTTCCCCCGTCTCCACAGGTGTCCCCCATGGCTCTGTCCTCGGACCCCTCCTTTTCATCACTTACCTCCTTCCTCTAGGTCACATCTTCCGTAAATTCGGTGTCCATTTTCACTGTTATGCTGATGACACACAGCTCTATTTGTCAACAAAACCAAACTCCACCCACCCACCCTCCATCCTCACCGACTGTCTCAATGAGCTAAATCACTGGATTTCTAACAATTTCCTACAACCAAACAGTAACAAAACAGAAATCATTCTTCTCGGTACCAAAAACTCTCTTTCAAAATCAGAAAATCTTCTCATCCCCCTTACTCTCTGCTATCCCCCTCGCCTCAGGTCAAGAGTCTTGGTGTCATCCTCGACACCACTCTCTCCTTCACTTCACACATCAACAATGTCACTCGGTCTGCCTATTTCCATCTCCGAAATATTAACCGTGTAGTATGTCGGGACAGCTGTGCTGCGGACATACTACTTAATTAATTATTCTTAAGGCTAGTTCAAGCACAAAGAATATTAATTGTTTAATTAACAATGGATTCTTTCTTTTTCAAGTTAAATTTCTGCCATGTGACCAAGATAACTTGAGAGTGGAGTGTATAATTAGTGACATGAGACATCATATATCTTCTACCCATCAGAATAAATGCTGTCATTTATTTAACAGAATCAAAATTTAACATCAAACATGTACACTTGATTTGCTGATCTGTTTCTGATTAATAAACTTAGCAAGTTCAAATAACAAGACAACAGAGGATTACTGATGGAGAATAATTCATCTCTGAAGGCATCTCGCTTGATTTACTGGCGAAGAGGTTTACAAGAGGAGAGACTGAAGTTTAAAGAGGAGGATTTAGATAGAGGAAGAAAATGTGTTGACCAGGAATGGCACCCTTCATTTGACCCCAGCTCAGCCCTCTGTACACTCGGTGTGTGACGACTCTTTACCTTTGCAGAAGATAAATCAGCTCCGGAACAGAGGTCCATTTCACGCTCCTTTTTCAGCGTCTCTGGTCAGAGTGGCTGAGAATCTTCCAAAGTAGTGACGGTACTCCGTTCAACAGAATAAGCTTCCTTTGAAGTTGAGAGCATTTAATACTCAGAGTGAGTTCACAGCGAGGCGTGCTGTGACTCCGTTGGAATGGATGGACTCTTGGCTCATGGTCAAACTCCATCAGCTATTTAGTTCAGCTGTAAGACTCCAGCAAGACTGCAGTCCCAGCCAGAACTCCAAACAGACTTTCAGTAAGAACTGAAAGTTCCAGTAAGACTCGCCGTAAGACTGAGTCTTCCAGTAAGACTGAGTCTTCCAGTAAGACTGAGTCTCATCTTAGACTTGTAAGACTGAATAGTTCCAACAAGTGTTGACTTTTAAAGAGTATCCACTTCCTGTTATGTGGTACTTCCTGATTGGTTAACACAACCAGCAGGGGTGGAGTTTTAGTGATGTCAGAGGGTTTTTAGAAGTCAACAGACAGCAGAAATTTTTTTTAAGAACGGTTAGTACAGACAGGAAAATATTTTGAAGAAGTGAGAGACAGCAGGCGCGCCAGTTTCTTATTTACTGTCTGAGAGTTTTAAAAACAAGGCACTTCATTCTCATAACTTGTTTTCTGACTTTTGACCGACATCAAATCCACTCCTCATTCAGACAGAAGTGTAAAATGCACATTTATTTTGTAAATAGACATTTAACTTGTATGATCTAAGTCTAATGAGGTTTAAAAATCATTAATACTGTTTCACAGTTGATTTAAATGAGTGGTTCACTTCAACATTAGAAATGGTATGAACTAAACACACTTTTGATTATCAAGATATTGTAAAATAGTAATGATAACTGACTCTCTCCCCTCCCTGATGGACATTTACACATCACGCTGCCTCAACAGAGCAGAAAACATAATCATGGACTGTTCACACCCGGGTTTTGAACTGTTTGACTTGTTACCTTCAGGGAAGCGCTACAGGTGCATCAGAACAAGAACAAACAGGTTCAAGAACAGTTTTTTCCTGAAAGCCATCACCACACTGAACTCACACATGCACTGATTTAATCATCTAACCTCCCAAACACCTGGACTTCTACTGTGCAACACTACTGACATTTCATACCCTCAGTCACCTTAACTACCTCACTAATATCCATAATGTGCAATACAATTGTGTAATACTTGTATTTTTTTACTTTCATTATTATATCTATATTGCGTTACATTTTTTATATTTTTAGTGTGTTAAATGTGTGTTTTCTTAAGGCGTGTTTTTGCACTGGAAAAAGGAGTGGCTCTTAATTTCATTGTACTGCGTATAATGACAATAAAGGCATTCTGATTCTGATAATATAAAAAAGAAGAGTGTTCTTTCAATTGATTAATTCAGGATACAATTAAATAGTCTTCTTGATGAAATAATTTGTATTTCTGGATTCAAATCAATGAAATAACAGTTCCTGTCCCCTGAAGGTCCTCAAAGACAGATTGTTGTAGGAGGTCTAGTTCACTACAACCGTCTCCGCCCTTCTCTCACACCCCGCTCCACAGCCATCCTTGTTCACAGTCTTGTGACTTCTCGGATTGACTACTGCAACTCCCTTCTTTATGGCCTCCCCAACAAATCTCTCCAGAAGCTACAATTGGTCCAGAACTCAGCTGCCCGTGTCATAACTCAAACCTCCTCCTATAACCACATCACTCCAGTCCTGCAGCAGCTCCACTGGCTCCCGGTTAAATCACGCATCGTCTTCAAAATTCTTCTTCTCACTTTTAAAGCTACCCACAACCTTGCCCCTCCGTACCTATCTGACCTCCTACACATCTCCATCCCTCTCACTCTCTCAGATCCTCCTCTTCACTACACCTCCATGTACCCTCTGCCCGCCTCTCCACCATGGGGAGCAGGGCCTTCACCTGCTCTGCCCCTCATCTCTGGAACTCTCTACCCCCTGACTTAAGAAACACCACCTCTCTTTCTCTATTCAAGACTGCTCTGAAAACACATCTCTTTAGACTCGCTTATCCTTAACTTTGCTGTATGTATTTTATATTCTTTATGTATTTTATATTCTGTATGTATTTTATATTCTTTATGTATTTTATATTCTTTATGTATTTTATATTCTTTAAGTATTTTATATTCTTTATGTATTTTATATTCTTTATGTATTTTATATTCTTTATGTATTTTATATTCTTTATTCCTGTTGATCTTTGTTCTTACTGTAAAGTGTCCTTGGGTGTCATGAAAGGCGCTTTTTAAATAAAATGATTATTATTATTATTATTATAAACACATAAACAAGTTTTTGGTGTTCCATCCATCCATTATATTTTTACCCGCTTCTTCCTTTTCAGGTCACGGGGGTCATTGCGGCCCATATCCAGCAGTCACTGTGTGAGAGGCAGGGGACACTCTGGACAGGTCTCCAGTCCATCACAGGGACACATAGAGACAAATGAGACAAACAACCATTCACTTTGTCTCACCTAGGGACAATTCAGAGTTACCATCAGTCTAACATGCATGTTTTTGGTCTGTGGGAGAAAACTGAGTATCCCGAGAAAACCCACGCATGCACGGAGAGAACATGCAAACTCCACCCAGAAGGCTCCTGACTGGGGTTTGATCTGGCGACCAGCTCGCTAAGAGGCAGCAGCTCTACCAACTGAGCCATTGTGCCACCCTTGGGATTTTCTTTTAATCTATATTTAATTGTAACGCAGAGAGATGGCTTCCTCGTATCTTTTTTAAAAACATGATGAATTAAATCAGTTTAAAGATCCTCAAATAAAATCCTTCATAAATTTACAATCTGTTAAAGGGAAAAATAACAAATATTTATGTTATGATTTTTTAGTTACTTTTTGTGTCCCTAAAATAAATGTGAGCTGCAACGAGGCGTTGCAGCTTAGTTCTACCTGCTATGTTTTGGCCTGAAAAAGAAATCAGCAACTTCGCTGATAAGTTTGATGAGGGCTTTGTATGTTAGAAGTAAGGTTTTAAATTTTATTCTAAATTTGACAGGGAGAAAAAAAAAAACTGTGGTAAAATCAACAATTCCTTTTATGCTGTCTGATAAAATAATTTTTCTTTTAATCTCAATAATCGTTTTTTTTTCTTTACCTGAAGGTAATGATCCAACAAATCAGCTCTGAAGAGGAACAGAAGTTAAGTGAAACCCAGATGTTGATTCGTTGCTGTGGTGAGAGCGTGGAGGCCAACAGGAGACTGTTGGAGAGCGCCGAGAGCAGCATGGATGACATGGAGATGGCTGCTTTTGTGAAGGTGGGCTACATCTGCACTTTTAAAACTTTATCCAACAGAAATATTATAAACCAACAACACTTTTTTGAGCAATGTATTGCAATTATTAGTATTATTTACATTTTATTTTATTTTTATTTATTTTTTTATTATTATATATGTTTGATAGTTCAGTGTGTTGAAACAAATTAGAATCAGGAAATGAGGCTATTCTTTAAAATAGTTAATTTCTCGAATGTCCTCACTTTTTCTTCAGAGTTCAAGAAAGCTGATCACAACGTGAGTAGTTTTAAAACACATGTACATTTTAGAATGAACCGTAACTCCCCAGTAATAATTATTTCTCAACGTTCCACTCCGTGCTGTTGTACCATTTATTCCCTTTGTTGTTTCTTCCCTCTACCTTCTTTTCCTCTTCAGAGTGATGGCAGCTTCCAGCTCCTGTCCAGCAGAGACACTGAAACCAAGTTTTGAACATAAAAGCTTTTACAAAATTAATTTCAGCAGACAAGAGAAAGCTTTAAAGAGCATTGATTTCATCAAAGGCAAGTAAAAAAACACTTTTTTTTAAGTTACTTATTTGTTGCTGAAATGATAGTATGATAGAGGAAGAGTTGTTTGAAAAACTTCAGACAGCAGCCAGTGTGATCTTAGTTTGAATTTTCAATAATTCTTCATCAGCGAGCTAAGCTAACTAAAACCTAATGGAGCCAATAACAGAACTACAATATTTGTACCTATAAAAACAACATTTAAAAATTTTAATAAAGCAGAAGTTCAAATGACCATGGCAGTACAGACACACAGCAACACTTTAGCTTCAGACAGTGATTTGCTGGTTTATTTCTCACCAAACAACCTTCATGTGTCAGTCAGTACAGAAAGAGTAACATTATTAACATATTGCACCAAAAATCAGCTGTGACAAACAAAACTGCTGCTCTAATACCAAATACTTCTAAATTATTGCTAAATGGATTGCAGACTCGTCTTTAGTGGATTTGGACAAAACTGTTTTTTTTTTATCAAGTTCAATTAAACTTTTTCGTCATTTCCAGCACATGTGGTACATGAGGTGGAACGAAATTATGTACACAGGGTCCCAGATACACCCAAAAATAGCAAAATATAAAGTATAAAAAGAAACTATTCAGTTTCAATTCAGTTTATTTATAAAGCGCCAAATCACAACCAAGTTGTCTCAGGGCACTTTACAGGAACATTCACATAAAAGCCAGTTAGTAAAGTTCTCTATCTAAGGAATCCATCAGACAAGTTAAATCTTGGCTTCGTTGCAGTCTCCCATCCTGAGCAAGTACTGTGGAGACAGTGGAAAGAAAAACTCCCTTTAACAGGAAGAAACCTCCAGCAGAACCGGCTCAGGACAAGAGACCGTCTGCTTTGACCTTTGAGAGGACAGGAAGGAGAGACAGACGAACACAGAATGGTAGGTCCAGGTATAGGTCCAGGTCCAGATATAGGTCCAGGTCCAGGTATAGGTCCAGGTCCAGATATAGGACCAGGTCCAGGTGTATCTGAAAGACAAACACATGTTAAGGATAGAAAAAATAATTACAATTACAAAACAGGTTGAGCAGAGTAAGTAAAGACAGTAGCAGAGTGAAAATTGTGGTCAGTTTGTCCTCCAGCAGTCTAAGTCTATAGCAGCATAACTAAGGGACAGCTCAGGAAACCCAAGCCAAGCCTAACTATAGGATTTATCAAAAAGGAAAGTCTTAAGCCTAGTTTTAAAACTAGATAATGTGTCAGCCTCACGGACAGAGATTGGAAGTTGGTTCCACAAGAGAGGAGCCTGAGAACTGAAAGATCTGCCTCCCATTCTGTTTTTGTAAACTCTAGGAACCACAAGTAAACCTGCAGCCTGAGAGCGAAGTGCTCTGTTAGGAAAATATAGAACAACAAGATCTCGAATATAAGTTAGTGGGGATGCTGTCTGCTCTGTGGTACAGAGTCCTGATGACTCCTAACTTGTGCTCCAAAGGGTGATGGGAGTCAAACTGCAAATACTGGTCTGTGTGGGTGGGTTTGTGGTACACCTCGGTTTGCAAATGTCCTCTATCAGAGACTGAGACCTCACAGTCCAAGAAAGCCAACCTGTCATTTTTGCTAATGATCCATTGTTAGGCTGATGGTCCTTCTTGAGCATGTGATCAGCTGGTTCTGGTTGTCAGCAGCAAACTGGTTGATCCACTCTGAGAAGGTGCTATTTAAGAGACTGAGCTGAATACAGCACCTCAGACTGAGGAAGTCTCTCGGAGGAAAGACGAAACGTTTCTACGTTTTTTTTTTTTGCTTTGTTTTGTTTTTTTGAATGTCCAGAGGACCAGATTGAACTTTTTTGGGTGTATACTGTGAAGTTACGGTGGTGTGAAGGTTTAAAAAAAATAGTCTTTTTGATCTGAGTATAATCCAAAAGGAGTTGGTCTTTGAAGAGGTACATTTAGTAATGTAATGGTGTTTCTTTTACAACAGAACTTTTATGACCATTTTCAGTAATTCTGTGGCTATCTGTCTAAAGGAACATATTTTCTAATTTAAAATATCAACCTTCAAAAAGCTCTTTCCCTACAAAGTAATTTCCAGTGATGAGAATGTCTAACCAGAGAATCTTTACCTATTCAGATTTCTAATGGGCAGATGTGGCTGAGTGGTTAGAGCAGTCGTCCTCCAATGCGAGAGTTGGGGGTTCGGATCCACCAGCAGTCATATGTCGAAGTGTCCCTGGGCAAGACACTGAACCCCTCATTGCCTCTGATGTGTGTCCCATCAGTGTATGAATGTGATCTAAAGCACTGATTAGTCTCTTTAGAATGATTTGTTCAATTAGCTTTGTAGAGATCTAGTAGAGTGATGTATGAATGGGTAAATGAGGACACAGATTGTAGTGTAAAGTGCTTTGAGTATCTTGAAATAAGATAGAAAGGCGCTATATAAGTACAGTCCATTTACCATTTACCATTTAATGTCAGATAGCCCTCCATTTATTAGTGTCATTTTTGACATCTTTATAGTTGTGGAGGATGTCCCCGAAGAACTAGAAGGCAGTCCAGAGCCAGAAGAACCCAAGGTGTCCTTAATCCAGAGCACAGAACTGGAACAGTATCAAGAACCTTCAGTAAAGGACCTGGACATTGCAGAGGAACCAGCTCAGGAGTGGATTCCTGCACCTTTATGTCCACTAGTGAAACCAGTACAGCCAACAGAACAAAAAGTAGCATCAGTCCCTGCAGTTCTACCTGTAGAGAGAGACACTGACACTGTTGAGTCTGACTGGGAACTTATGCAGCTGGACACTCATGAGCCAGACTCAAATGTTGAAGAACCAGGTCATATTAATGTGGAAACGAGGGAGGAGACCAAAAAAGCAGTGGAGGCACCATATCCCATAAAAGTGGGAAACAGCAGTGACAACCAGGAAGGAATAAGCATGCAGCAGGTAAAGTATCTGTATATCTTAAAACAACTTTCTTTTCTTTACTCTTTCTGACACAAACCATAGTGGAAAGGCCAGTGACATTTGAAGTTTAGACCTAACTGTGTTGATAACGACCCCTCTGAACCTCCTTACTGACAAAATTCTCCTTCCAAATTTATTACAACTCCATTTTGTGCCTTCAATTAAATTTTATGTGCCTGTATTTGTATTTTAAAGTATTTTGAGCAGCATGCTTAGCTATTAAGTTGCTACATAGTATGGATCATTTATCATTTATTCCTATAGATAAAAAATACCCGTCCACTGAAATTCCTTTAAATTCCAGGTTGTAAAGCAACAAAACAGAGAATGCCAAAAAGGGGAGAATAGTTTGCATCACACTGTACAGTTGTTCACATGTGCAAATTAATTGGATCATTTGAAATTGTTTTGTGAGCTGTTACTTGTAGTGGGGAGAGTGGGGTAAGATACGCCACATTTGTTTTCTGGGTTCTACAAGTGAGATTAAATGACACAGGAGTACAAAGAAAACACATACAATAATTTGGGATGTTGTCTAAAAAAATTATACATGTATTATAAAAACAAATATAAAACAAACAGCTCTAGAAATATGAAGTGACAAAAAAAGTGTTCCAGTGGCTCTATTTGGCCCAGGTATGGGGTAAGTTAATCCAACTCCGAGGGTAAATTGAACCAAAATGACAATTCTTTTTTGCCCAGTTTTGAAACAGGCATAAAACCCATATTTTATCCAGAAACATCCATTTAAATGGAGGTCACCTGAAACAAAACAAAATCAGCTAAGTAAAGTTTAAATTGTATTTATTTTCCAAGACTGAACAATAACTTTGATGTAAGTTTACAAGTCAAGATGGCTTTAATGATCCAGTCATCACGTAGCCAAAAATGGAGAAAAATAATCATAACTATTTAAACAGAGAAAAAATAAATCCTGTAACATTACATTATATTAGTCTCACAATTTTGAACTTGAGTATTTAGGAGGTTGAACTTCATTCAGCATGCTCATTGTAGAAATTTACTCAACATTCCATTGATCAAGGTTGCAAGGAAATGTGAGTTGCTGCTCCCTCCTTGCAGTACCTTCAACCTTCTGAGGTTTAGGAAGCTTTCTCAATATGGATCAGTGCAATGAATCCCATATCATTCTCCTTGAATGTGAAGGTGGGCTTCTCTCTGCCTCTACTTGTCAGGGTTTCAGACAGGTCAGGGCAGGAGGGAACCCAGATGAGCAGGGAAAGAGTCAGGACTCAAGGATTACAAAAATAAATACTCTTTAATAATAAATCAAAAAGGCTGACGTGGCAGCAACTTACAAAAACAGGGAACGAGGAACAGATCAGGCTGGCAGGACAGGACAATACCCAACGACTAGACAAAGGACAAGACTCACTGACAGGCTTAAATACACAGACAAGACAGGACGTGATTACAAACAGCTGAGAACAGAAGGTGAAATCAATCAGGATTAAATGACACAAGGGTACACAGATAGGGAAGGCCCACAAGATGGTGCCATCCCTACAGTAATCCCCCCTGCCCAAGGACGCCCCCTGGCATCCCCAAAATAGTCCCCCCAAAAAGATTTGGTGGGTGGAGTGAGGAATTACAAGGATGGAGGGCCCAAGACAAAACATGACAAAAACAAACTGACAAAACAAAACCAGGGACCTAACTAGACACAAACAGGGGAACACAAAAGTCTGGATGGTCAGGAGACCGTCCATCACGCCAGAGTAGGTCAGATGGGCGGCCAGGAGACCGTCCGTCAGGTTGGAGCAGGGCGGGCGGGCGGCCAGGAGGCCGTCCGTCAGGCTGGAGCAAGTCGGGCGGGCAGCCACGAGGCCGTCTATCAGGATGGAGCAAGTCGGGCGGGAGGCCATACTTAGGCTGGAGCAAGCCGGGTGGGCGGCCGCGAGGCCGTCCAGGCAGGATCAGGACAGATGGATGGCCGGGAGACCATTCATTGGGCTGGGGCCGACAGGGCAGGCGGTCGAGAGGTTGTCCAACGGGCCATTCAGACAGATCAGACAGGTGACCGAGAGGCCGTTCAGGCAGGAATAGGACAGACGGGTGGCTGGGAGACCATTCCTCAGGCCGGGGCCTGTCGGGCAGGTGGTCGAGAGGTTGTCCCACAGGCCATTCAGACGGGGACAGGTCAGACAGGCAGCCGAGGGGGCGTTCAGGCAGGAACAGGACAGACAGGGTCTCAGGCAGGTCGGGGCCAAAGGTTTCAGGCAGGTCGGGGATGAGGATCTCAGGCAGGTTGGGGATGAGGGTCTCAGGCAGGTCAGGGACGAGGGTCTCAGGCAGGTCGGGGAAGAGGGTCTCAGGCGAGCTGGGGACAAAGGCCTCAGGCGAGCCGGGGACAAAGGCCTCAGGCGAGCCGAGGACAAAGACCTCGGACGAAGACCTGAGGTGGACCAGGATCTTCTGCGGTTGACACAGGATCTTCTGTGATCGGGTCAGGAGTGAAGACCTCAGACGGACCAAGGGCGAAGATCTCAGACAAGCCGGGGACGAAGGCCTCAGACGAGCTGGGGACCAAGACCTCAGGTGGACCAGGATCTTCTGCGGTTGGCTCAGGATCTTCTGAGGTTGGGTCAGGATCTTCTGTGGTTGGGTCAGGAGCGAAGCTCTCAGACGTGTCAGGGGCAAAGACCTCAGACAGACCAGGGGCGAAGACCTCAGCGGACAGACTGGCGGTGAGGAGCTCAGCTGCAGGCTCTGGGCTGGCTGCTGCAGGCTCTGGCTGGCTGCTGGAGGCTCTGGGCTGGCTGCTGCAGGCTCTGGGCTGGCTGCTGCAGACTCTGGGCTGGCTGGTGCATACTTTGGGCTGGCTGCTGCAGACTCTGGGCTGGCTGCTGCAGACTCTGGGC